GTACGGTAGGTGTTATAATTAGCATAAAGTACTTTGAGTGCTGGTTTAAGGTGAGTCTCTTGTATGAGTATTACGTCAGGTTCAATTTCAATAATGAGGTTGGATAATTCATCTTTTTTATGGTAAAGACCGTTAGCGTTCCAAGAGAGGATTTTTATGTTGCATCTGTTCTTGAATTTATTAGCATTAAAGATGATTTCCTATTTTTTCAATGATTTCGACTACTGCGATTATTTTATCAAGAGGTGATTTCTTGGTTTTAATGTTTTTGAGTCCTTGTATCACTATTGTCCAGATTGTTTTTAGCGAAGAGAAGTCAAAGAGGTCTGACAGGGAGGATTCTGCGGTGCTGGTAGTTTCTTCTGTTAGAATTTCGTTTTGAATGGAGGTTTGAGCGATATTTTCGTTACTGTTTGATGTCAGCGGAGGAAAGTCTTGTCTTCTGTTAGTCCAGGGATTGGTTGCTGGTGGAGGACTGGGTTGGAACTGAACTTGTTTGTTTTTTGGTCTGGCCGGGCAATTTGAGAAGTTGGCTGGGTGAGGACCTTTGCAGTGATAACATATGGCTGGCTGGTCGCGGCTACGGGTGCATTCTATAGGTTTGTGATTGCCTCCGCAACGGACGCATACCCAGTCTCTGGTGCAGAGCAGGGAACTGTGAAAAAATCCCTGGCATCTATAGCATTGTGGAGGGCCAGGTTTCTTGCGTAATGATTCTATTGTTACGTTCATATAACCTATGCGTTTGATTTTGAATACTTCCTTATTTTCTTCTGATTTTGGTATATGTACTAAGAAAAGCGGCATTGGTTTATTTTCTTTTCTGTTTCTTAATAGTGTAATAAAGTTAACCTTAAATCCTTTGTCAAGAAGTTCTTGAGTGATGGTTTGGGGATCTGTGGTGATGGGTAAGCCTCTTATTATGACTTTTAAAACTTTATCTTCGGGCAATAAGTAGGTGTGGGCTTTAAGCTTTGTTTCTTCGACTATTTTGCGAATGAATCGATGTGAGTCAGAGTCTGCAGGCTGTATTTCAAGGCGGCGTCCTTTTAAGGTGCCAGTTATCTCTTTTTTCCGGTTTGCTTGTTTAAGTTTTTTAAGAATTCATCCGCTTTTGGTACGTCATCTACGACAATAATGGGCACTTTATCAATTCTGCTTGTTTTGGGGCTGGAGTTTGGTTTTCTATTTGCGGGAATGGTGTCACTTTTGTTTGGTTGGTCTTTTGGGGTGGTAGTGAGTTAAGTGGCTGATTCATCTTCGTTGTCCAAATGCATGTCATTTATTTGGTTCTCTAATTGTTTACATCGATTGCTGGTTTTGAGGGAAGGCTCCTCATCGGAGTCAGAATCCGTTTGTCTATAGCGCAATTTTTTTTTCTTTGTTCTTTGAAACCACTAGTGGATTGAAGTATGTCGCAGAAGTTTTTAATCTCTTCAAATTGTTTAGCGAGCTTTTCGTTAGAGGTTTGTAATTCGTTTATTTTTGCATTGGCCATCTCGTTTTCCTGCATACGCAGTTGATTAATGGCTTTTACAAGGAGAAAGTTTAGTTCTTTTTGATCACTAGCGGACATAATCACATTTGGGTCGTTACGGATATCTTGGATATCTTCCACCAAGGATCTGGTAGTTTCGACGTCATTGGATAAAGTAATTTTGTGACTTAATATTTGGAGAACGTTGGGTTCATCATTGAGATGTCTCATGTGAGGATTTTCTGAGTTTGGAGGTGAATTTTCCATGTTTATGTTATTATTAGTTACAGTTATGTTTGTTGTGTCATATTGATTAATCATGTGAGGCAAATAAGTTGGAAAAAGGCCTAACTAAAGGCCGTACCCGAAGGTACCCTTATCAGCACGGTGAATAAAGAAAATCAGAAGAAAGAATAAAATACGACCTGTTTTATCCAGCGAAGGGTGCAGCAGTGGAGTTAAGGCGACGCTTTTGCGAGGCGAAAGCCAAAGAAGAAACAACCCAGAGCCCGTGAGGCGAGGTCGATGAACTCGGTACAGTAGCGGGGTGGCAGCAACGCAAGGAAACGGAGAGCGAAGCGATAAGACGTCTATCTCGAACGCTGTCCCACCTCGGAATGAGGAGGTTAAAATGGTGTTTTAGTAGGAGGTTAAACCCTCCATGGGTTGCGGGAGTTAGCTGATTATCGATATTTGACAGTAAATTCCAGATCAAATCAAATCCATGCAACCGAACAAATCTGGTACAAAACATCCAACCCTAAATTACGCTAGCAATATTTTATGGCTATAGCAATTTCTTGGTTTTCCTAAAAAGTATTACAATTTGAGATTATCATACGTTCTTATTAATTCTTAAAAGAAAAATCATTTACTAAGATTAGCAGCAGTTTTGGGGCTGCTTTAGGCTTACCAGCTCGCTCTTACTGATAATACTTACAGCAACCGTGCTCGCCTTTACTAGAGAAACTACAGCCTACCTTAGCCCTTACTGGTTTAAAAACTGTTCACAAGTATTTCTATCCCCAAATCCTGTATTACCTGAAGCTTATAATTCAAACAAATCCGCGAAAGTTACAACTTAAATTTTTTGGAAGAGAGAGAGAGAGAAAAAAAATTGTTTTAAATGTAAAGCGATACACTTCCTTCAGATATAAAGTAATTTAATAAATTTAGCAATTCCATTAGTTTCAGGTAAATAAATTGGGGAGGAGGAGGGGGAGAATGTTTTAGTTAACAGTGCAACCGCTGCAAACTTGATTGACACCGCAGTCAACTTATTTGCCGGCAGGTCGTAATATGGAAGTGACGACACTTCTCTTGGAATAAGCATTAATTTATGATCTTTTCAAAGAGTCATCAAAAAAAAAAAAAAAAAGTGGGGAGGGGAATAAAACTATGGGTCTTCAAAAAAAGAGGGAGAATAAAACTGTTTCCGTTAGCCGTTGATCAACAAAGAAGAAAGTTCTACTAATAGCATTCTTTTCGATTAAAATTAAAAAGGGGACTGCGGATCTCGAGGCGATCAAACTTAGCCGAATTATAGAGGGCTCTCGTTATTTTAGTAGTTGAGAAGCAGAAACATATGGCATCTGGCAATACCAATAGTGATGGCTCATCTCCATGTGCTTCATAAACTTTTCCCGCTTTCAATCAGCGCCATTTTGCGACAAAAGCCGGTAGTAGTTCTGAGTAACGGTGTTAACTTGAAAGCATTTTTTAGTCCTCGTCAATTTTGTACCAACGACATGGCTAAACCTCAGGTTTTCTTCGATATCAATGCTGATAATCAGCCTCTTGGTAGAATTGTTATGGAAGTATGTAATCATTATATTATATACGATGAATTTTGCAATTTTTTTTCTGCATGTGTAACTATTAACTTCTTTTAATAAATTATTTTACCTCCCATTTATTAACTTTTTTAGACGCTGTCATAGGTTCTAAAAATTTAATAATATTACCATTATAATGTTTTTCATAGCATATAGAATCGACAAGGCCAAATATTATTGCTAGTGGTAATTTTATTTTCGCCATCTGAAGACTTGTTCTTAATTGTAATTTTTAAAGAAAAGTATTTTAATATCAGTTTTAAAGGTCTGTTCTTTCTTCTGCTGAAAAAAATTGTAGTTTCAAATGTTTGTTGTAGAAAACTTAAAAATGGCGAACAGTTCTGGAATTTTTCATGACACACTGTATTAAATCTTTTGAATACTCATTTCGTTTCTCCAACAGTGTATTTTAAGCATTATTTTTGTGTTAGGGTAAAATTAGTAGTCGGTATTTTATTTCTTATCATTATCTCCGAGACTTAAATTCGCATGTGTTGTGAGCTGCCATAGCCATTTTTTAGAAATCTGAGCGTGTTTTCAAAAATTATCAATTACTTTTAAGTTATTAAACAGAATCTCGTATACTTTAGAGAGTGTTCATAATAATTTGTACTAATATGTAAACTTAGGTGTGATTAACGTATTTCAGGCTTCTCTGGAAATGGGAAAGAGCATCTGTCTTAAAATATTCGTTTCATATCGATATAAACTAAATCTTTTTTTTAACCTAGTTTTGTTTCTGTGTTAGAGAATTATGCATTAATTAGAGAATTATGCATTAATTTTGAAATTTATGTAGAATAGCAGGTTCTGTAGAACTTGTTAAGAATGGAAATTTATACTTGTACCACCGCAATGGCATGCTGAAGTTATTTTGCCAGACTGTAGCTTTGATCTCACCGTGCCCTTCTAAATTTCCGCCCCTCCAGGAGTATTGTTAGATAGTGAATGTCTAGTTTGCTGTAAATGGGGGCGGGAATTGATAACAGACGTTTTTTGTATTTTCAGCGAAACAGTCTTGTATTGGCAATACTATTTTACATTTTCTCTACTTATTGTATAAGCTAGTAATTTGCATAAAAACATCTGGAAGTCATTTAATATTATTGTATATTTAAAAAAAGCTTTTCAGTTTACTTAAGGATGAGAAATAGTTTTTCCCAAAAGTCTGTATATAGTACTTGTACTTGCTTTGTTAGTATTTAGTGAAAGCAATTTCATTCCAGGTTGAATTGGCCCATCTGTGCCCCAACAGTAAAGTAACTGAACAATGGTCGTTAAGTCCCAAGTCGTGCCAACAGGGTGCTTGCATGGGCGTTTTTCTAATGCATATAGGAGGCAGTTTACCTTAGAAAAGACCTTCACAAAGTCGTTTTTCCCCTAAGAAAGACCTCGAGGCTTTGCCATATTTAAGTTTTAATGGAAATTGTGCCACTGGTATGACAAAAATCATGATATATGTGGAATAGGGTGAAAAGTAACCTTAGATTGTGTAAATTTTAAGAAAATTGTGTAGTTATTTAGTCTAACAAGTTTTACCTTGTTTTGTTCTTCTGGTTAATTTTTCAGAAAATCTTAATTTAGCATGCATTTGCTTTTGGTATAACTGGAGCTTGGAAGTGGTTTTAAGGATTATTTATATCGGTTTGGCTTAAAAATGCAATTGCTCAAATTTTGCTGCATCAAGATTTTCTTAGTTTGGTTACTGATGTTCTGTTTTCATATTTTTAACAGCCCACCAGCGGCCGAGCGGTAAAGTCGCTGAACACTGGTAGTTCGGTCCGAGGTTCGAATCCCGCGAACGGGCTGGCTGCATGGGTGTTTTCGTGGTTTTCCCCATGTGGAACGTGTATACGAGCCAGTTCCCTTAGAAAGTCCTCCACGAAAGGCATCCTCCCCTTTGGCAGATAGCCCTAGTGTGCTTTGCCGTAATTAAATGCACCACCATATTTTTAACAAATGTCTTATATTGTAATATAATGTTATTTCCAACTGAGACGATAAAAGTAAATCAATGTTCTGAAATTTTTTAATGCAGTAAAAAATTGGGTTATCTTTGGATTATGTAACTTGGCGACAATTTGGCGACCAACTCTGATACAGCAACCTCTATTTTTTTTCCCGCCGCCATTCGTGAAGACATGTTCTTTTTATTTCTGAACACTTTTTCCAACAACTGTATCCGAATAACTTATGCTAGAAATTTTATGGACAAACTGCTTACTCATGACAAAATATTAACTACCACATTGGGAAAAGTGCAGAATCCAAACTCCTTGCCGCGTTTTTCAGAATCCATACACATAAACGAGTAGCGACTATTTTTACTTAAAAAAAAATCTAGATGCACAAAAATGGCTTTCACACTAACTATAGCCATGTACACTGCTTTTTTCTCATCAATGAGAAAATTTCACAAATCATGACATTTCCGAATCTTAACCGTAAGAACATATATGAAATGGGAATGTTCCGGAACCGGCCCTGGCTATTTTTTGGCCGCCATCTTGGATTTCAAAAACGCGCCTCCGGCCAAAATTATTTTCCCTGTCCGAGGGAAATCGGAAAGGGAAAACAACTCTGACCTACCAAACATGGAAAAAACTAACTAACCGAATTTATGGTGCCATCCTGAAGGCTACTCATCGCTGTTCCTTCCTTCAGATATCTATCAGGATACCTGCAAATAATAAGAAAAACAAAATATATTTTTTTGCTGAGCACAAGTTTAAGAAATATTAAATGAAATTGTTTAAATTACATTAAATACAACTGCTTAGCAGAACTGCAAATTATAAAATATATATATATATATATATTTTTTTGCTGGGCAAAAGTTTAAGAAATAATAAACGAAATTGTTTAAATTACATTAAATACAACTGCTTAATATTTTCAAATATGCGATTATAAAAAAAATATATATATATTTTTTTGCTGGGCAAAAGTTTAAGAAATAATAAACGAAATTGCTTAAATTACATTAAATACAACTACTTAATGTTTTCAAATATACGATTTGCAGAAATCAGCTTTACAAAATAGTTTCATGCTTTAAAACTAAAAGAAATATCTATCATAAAATTAATCAAGAAACCTACTCTTTTATAAATACATAAACTATTTTTATAAATCTAGAAATACTTAAAAACGCTTAAAACATACAGTAAAAGCAAAAAAAAAATTTCTCAGTATCGTAAGTAAGGGATAAGTTAAGTAATCGTTTTAAACTACGAATTTACTTTATTCTCGTTAGCATCCTCTGACAATATATGAAATTAAATTTAATTTATATCATAATATATATAAATAATAATATTAAATTGCATTAATAACAAATTAGCACTTACTTTGTACACGAGACATCCTTTCCGCTTGGCGCCCAAAGTTACGGTTGCAGTGAACGATGAACTCGGATCGTTAAGTTAATAATTTTGGCAAAATTTATTAAGAAGTTCTGCAAGTTCTTGTAAATAGAATTATTGAAATTAGAACTGCTATTTATTGCCAATAAACAAATATAAAATTGTTATATAGTATAATTTTTCTTATATTCCTACTCTTATGTTTATTCACAATCTACATTTGATTATATTTAAGGTCTTGTTTTTACAGTTCAGAATGTATAATTAATAATACTGCTTTCTAATTTGATTAAAATAAAATACAGTAAATTATTTCAAACAGAATGGTATAGGTTATTTCGCTGCAAACAATTATACTAAATATACTTATTTATGTACATTTGAGAATTTAGCGCCGAGCAGTTATTAATCATCCATGATGCTCTTCTGTCTGCCTATTTACAATTCTAAATTACATTTTTGGAAAGAAAAATTAAATTCAAGATTAAAAAAACTTTTTTTTAATGAAAATGTAACTTTTTTAAAAGCTTCATTTATTAGCTAGAATGATTCCAGTTTACTTATCTGTATTATCACAGTGAATCAAATATTATTACTGGCTTATCAAACATTAATAACAGTATAAATAGAGCTTTGGCCCGATTGAATAAACGTAAGAAGACCAGCTAACAAAACTTGTAGCCGCATAATAGGGTTTTAAAAACGATGTTTGAAATTTCAGCTAATTTCTGTAATGCATCCCCGTCATTAACTCCACATGGATTGCCAAATATTTACAAAGGCACCTTCAATTTCGTAGCTTAATAGTAGCTACTTTTGCAGTTATTCCAGCAAGCCCTAGATCAGAAACAACAGCCATTTAATGCACATTGGTCTCAAGTGTCTTTCCAGTGCAGGATTTACGTATAAGCTACACATATAAGCTACTATTATATATAGCTTAGGGCCCCCACTTTCTTCGCCCCCCTAAAATTAAAATATAGTATAACAGACTTATAAAGGGCCCTATATTTCAAACAGCCTAGAGCCTTATCAAGTCTAAATCTAGCTTTGTGTCTTCCTCAGAAAGGAATTCGTGCTAAATAATTCATGTGAATATGGGAGCTTCGACAGAGGTTCATCATGCCCCAACCCATTGCTTTACAAAATTTCACTTAATACTCACATGCATGAATGACGTAATGGGCTGGAGCCACTCGGGTTGGAATCATAAACAGTGGCTCAGAGTCATGGGATTATCTTCAGAAATCATGTGAAATCTCGCCTACAAAAATCTTACTCTCCCATCTTGGGTAGTAGTAGGTATAGGCTCAGTAAACAGTCATCCACTTACATATTAAAAATGGCGAAGCGGTGTCACGCAACATGGGACTGAGTAGCAGTGAGTTCATCTGAATCCACAGTCTGCGCTGAGATCTAGAAGACCTCTTTATAAGAAAGGAGGAAAATTGAACTTACATAAGTGCATCCTTATGTAAGTTCAATTTTTGTTTTCATTACTGACTAATTAATTAAGCAAAGGATCAAATAAATCTTCGGCACCTTTATGCAAATTCACTTTACTGGACTTTATCATCTATAAATACAGCTTCTAAATTCTAGATCACAAGGGCTCTG